ACGTCAAATACACGCGCACGTGCCAAACATGCATATGACACGGAGACATCTTGTCATAATAATTGTTGAATTAAATCGCGATGCGCGTAAGGGTATTGTAAATTATGTACACTAAGGAAATGAGGGCCTGCTAACGGGCAGTGTCCTCGTGCAGTCCACCAACTTCATCAGATCTCTCTTCTCTACACCCAGAAGACTCATCCTGATGTAAGCCTTCGCATAGTCCAGGTTCCAATGGACCTGGTTACCAACAAACGACTTCCACTCATCGGCGATCTTGGGATGTGTCGATAGCACCTTGTCGCTTGGGAGGACGAAGACCTTCTGATCAGCACTGCCACCGGAGGGATTGTTAAGAGTATCGTTGTAGAATTCGACGTCCCAGACACCGGGGGTCGTATCGAGTGGCTTGTCGACGACCTCTGGGCGGACGTCCACGAATCGTTGCTTGGCTGTTGCGTGGGCGCCTACGAGTGCTGCGAGATCGTGGGGCGAGAAACCCTTGTCCTTGAAGATGGCGATCAATTTGTCGGCGTCTTGATGAACGTCAGGTAGAAGTCCTTTGGGTGCGGCCTTGGTCGCATCCTTGCGGCCAACGAATGTAAGTACGCGGGGCCCCTTCGGACACGAGATTGTTGCGTGATTGTGCGCATATTGGACGAGATCAGCGTATCCGACCTTGTACTTGGATTGTACATCTCGAAGTTTTGTGCGAATGCTCTGAAGGCCGTTGTTCTCGGGTCTTTCATGCTCGCCAAAGTCCATGAGTAGCGATCCATCGGCACCACCATTGAGAGCATTCTTATCCCAAGACCCAGCATCGTGGAAGCCCATACGGACTGCGGCACGAGCGTTGTCGTTGCATTGTTTGTCCTTGGGGTCGACAAACAGCTTGGTAAGCTCGGCAGAGACATCATACCCTATATCTGTTAGGCCATAGACGATTAAGGAGGATTGTTGTAACTCACAAACGCAACATTTGTCAATACTCAACAATGAGCAGGTCAACGGCTTGTTCGTCTTGGTGTTGTCGATAGGTGACTTTTTACCAGACAGAACGTCCGCAATGAGTTGCTCAATGCCTGTGAGAACACCATTGAGAATGCCATCGATAAGGCCGGGTGCGGCATGACGGGGTTCCAACGGAGTTGATGATGCTATCGAACATAGAGCGATGAGTGGCAACGCCAGGGACTTAGTAGGGACCATCATGGCAGCTGAGGTAAGTAACGACCGAGAAGATTATGAACAATAAATTATAAGACAGTGTAAGAGGAGCAACTGTGAGCTGATGAGGAACAAAAAGACAAGATGTTTGGAACATCCTTATATTCCCCGACTGTCTCCTAACAGCAACGGTGTACCAAGTCCCGGGCCTTCCATTCTCGCCGATCACAGTCCCGCATGGAACCAAGACGCCGTTTAGTTGAGACCACAGCAAGCCACATTGAGTAGAGGGATACAGCTCGGTCCCCGAAATAGTAATCTATCCCTGTAGCCCTAGGCCAAGCCAGCCGCTTTAAGGCGATACGGTTGAGGAAAGCCAGCCAAACAGCTACCAAGTGATGGTCATGACAGCGATATGCAGGGCCGAGCCTAGACTAATGACCTTTTGAGACAGGTAGATCCCGTCAATGTAGGAAGTCAGGGCAGTCTAGCAGTCGCCGCCTAGAAAAAAGGTGCCAAGCTTGCGAAGAGGCGCATTTGCGAACGGTCTAGCTGTTGCAGACATGTGCCTGATTCAAAGAGTGTGAGTCGAAACACTCGCCATTCGACAAGCAAGTACAGCCCAGAGCGAAATATCGACAGTACAGTCACAGCATCCTGCGTGAATGCCACCAATACTTGAGTGCGGAAGAGCACCCTGCCGAAAAGCAGCATACCGCTTTGCGATTCTCCGGTGCCGCTAGCGTCGGTATCCGTTGTCCAGAATTCTACGAAGCCACGATAGCCTCGTGTTTTCTCGTGAAGATGCATGGTGGCTTGTCCAGATCTCGCGTGTTCGCTTGGCATGTCAAAACTCAATACTCTCCGCATGGTGATCCGGGACCTGAGCCCATCATCCGCGACTAAGAATACGCCACTTGCCTTGCGGTCCCACATACGGGAACTCGTGCAACGACTAAGCGGTGTATTTGTTCTTCAGCTACACAAGCTAGTACCATCAGCTGGGATTCGCTTGCATGCCCAGGTGTCGTGGCATGGCGCGCCATGCGATTTCGAGCTGCTTTCGGGTATTGCCCCAAGATAGCGATACAAGAGCCACTGACGCTTTCCGCTAGCGAACGGTGATGTTAGTAATTGAGGTGATCCGGTAAGCCTCCAGTCCATCGACCGCTTGTAGAAGAGCTGAGCCAAGTGATCGACGACACTAGTGTGATCGTGCAGCCGCTGCTGTGGAGAGCCGGAGCCACCACGAGCACATGACCTTTGAAATGCTCAGCCCTGTAGGTGTTTGGCAGTAACTGAACACTTTTCCATCCAAATGGATTACCCTCGCAATCTGCTAACTCAACAAAGGGCTTGTTCATGGCAGTAAGCCCAGCATCTGCCACCCTTTGCCGGTGTCCATTGCTTTTCAGGACGTCAATGTTGAGAGTAGCGTTCAGAACGCGCATCGACGCGCACATAGAAGGTGTGAGGAGCGAGGGTCTTGCAGGTACTTCTGCTTACCTTGCGCGGTTCCGCTTTAATGCAGGTACCATTACCGTACCAACGTGTTGCACGGTAACAAGCAAAGCTATTGACGTTAGATGCAGCCTGACACCGTCCGGAACCAAAGTGTTGGATGATCCGACGCTCGGAGGTTGGACGCCCATGAGATTCGATGGCAGAACAGCCCAGCAAAGGGTTGAAGAAGTTGGAGTCTAGGGTTCAAGGGTTGTTGAGCTTCATGTACCGTTCCTATCGCCTCCAGGGCTTCTTCGGCCCGCAAAAGCATGAGCCTTGACACGGTGCTTGATTGTTTGTTCGCTCCAAGCGTTAGCATAAACGTCCCTGACCCCTTACCGCCATAATACTCAACAGTGACAAATATCCCATCAGACGTTGTTATCGCATTGATGGAGAGAGAGATATCTTGGTGGAGCGGCGAGGCCACGGCTCTAGCGGGAATAATGGTCTTGGCGTGCGCCAATCGGGGGCCCCGATCAGCGGAGGCCTCGACGCGTCTCGCCCTTTTCGATCTTTGTTCCTTCATGCATCAATACTGAGGGCAGATTCGCATCAGTCGGACATTCGTATCATCCATCTGATATCGACTGGTACTCCCCTTTCGCAACCTCGTCACTCTTACTCTGAAATCGCGACCCTTATCACGTCATGCAGACAGATGTCGCGTCCGGAATCCTCTGGCAACAGTCCGCCAAAACGTCGACGGACGGTTGAAGGGTCGTGCTGGCCTTGCAAGCAAAGACGAGTCAAATGCGACCTCCAGAAGCCCACATGCCGACGATGCCTCCTTTCCACAAACGCGGAAGACTGCAGCTACGACAAGTTACTACTCAGATGGAAGAAGCGACCTGCTAAAACGGTGCCCGAATGCATCCCACAGCTATCCATCGAGCGTTCGCTCAATAACATTCACCTGGCAGTCAATGAGCGAAGAGCACTGGAATACTTCAAAGCGCGGTTATGGCCACTTTTCTCCACTCTTCATGAGCCAGTCCCGCCACCAGTCGCACTTGCCCTGCGCTCTCAACCTGTCCTCCAGGCCCTATGCGTATTTGCCGAGGAGCATCGGGCGCTGCAAGAGCGCGGATCGTCCAAACAGACTCTTGAGAGGAGACGCTTGCATTGCTTGTCAGTTATCCGCGGCCAACTGAGCAGCGAGCAATCCGATGGTGCTGCGCTCTCCGCACTTTTAGTCGCGGTGCTGCTTTTGTACTTCCTGGAAGGCTATGTCAACTGCATGTCAGATGACGCTTCGACCGGTTGTCACCTTGCGGGAGCGATCGCAATCATCAACGCAATGGGTGGCTTTCGAGCAGCATGGTCATCGTCAGACAGAATGACTAGAATGCTACTCTCGGAACTAGCATCCACCGATCTGACAGACGCCCTGCTCCAAGACAGAAAACCTTCGTTCCCAGCCTCCATTTGGGAGACAATGGAGTCAGGATCAGTATGGTGGGAAGTCGTCCCTGGCACTACATCACTCGGGTCTGTTCTATCCACATTGGCTGAGATGAGCTTCTACCGCCACGAGCTACAAACTGGAGCCGAAGTTTGCGTCGAGAAGGCGCAGGCCTTTGAGCATGCGCTTCAGCCCACGTACTCCAAGCTAGAGTGTCCAGATGGAGACGCAGGACAAGACCTGCTAAGCCCTGTTACAACGGCATCGCTCTCACTTGTCCGTTGTTTCCAGCACGCAGGCCTCATATACCTTTACAGTGCTATTCACGACATTCCCACGAAGCACTTTCTTCTCCAACAGCATGTCCATGCGTGTCTGGAGTGTATACAAGGCATGGATACGAGATCTAAAGCACAGAACTGTGCTCTTTTCCCACTCTATGTTGCTGGCGCACATGCACTCTTGGAGGCCCATCGGGAATGTGTGATGAAGATTTTGGGGAACATACACAACAATCTGCGATTCGAGTCCGTGCTGTCTATTCGGGCAACTTTGGAGGCGCTCTGGCAACCGTCTCGTAATCCTACTACGTGGAGCGGAAGTTTCAAGAACACCGCCATGTGTACATTGGTCATATGAAAGAATTCATCGGTTCTTGCTATAGCAGAAGATTGCGATAGTTCCGGCAAAATGCCTCCGAGCCCTACGACTACCAGCCACTTGCTCAACTGTCTAGTGTTTGCACCAGGGACGGCCATAATTCATGTCGCATTTTACAGAGATTCCAAGCCAGATGTATACATGACTCTAAGGACTATCTAGTTGTTAAGATTGAAGAGTGTATATGCAGCAAATGCGACAGGAATGGTAGCCACTCTTGGTGCCCGTATCCCAGCATATTACCAATGTCTGAGTACCGCCTCCCTCACTCCAATTCAACGAGAGCCTCCACCTCGATTTCGACTTGCATGCCTTCGATACCAAGTTTGGTAATCTCGACACATGTCCATACCGGTCGGTGATCAGGCATGACGCGTCGCCAGCCTTCGATACATAGGTCCGCAGACTCGTCGATGTTTGTGTGGTACGATCGAATAGCGTATACGTTCTTCCAGGACACGCCCTTTTCGACAGATTGTAGAGCCTTCTCAATGTTCTCAAGCGCTAGCTCCACTTGCTTTGCGGCGTTTGGTGCTACGTTCCCTTCCGCATCCCAACCACCCTGGCCGGAAATACGGACGACGTTTCCTACTTTGACAGCTTGCGAGTAATGGAAAGCTTTCGACTTGGATTCGGTTCCAGCGTAGTTTCCGAACGTTGTCATGATGAGGATCTCAATGTCGATAGTGAACTGCGTTCGAGGCGAAATGAAGAAGAAGAAGAAGAAGTCGGTGACAAGTGTTGTAGTCAAGAAGGAGTCGGACGAAGAAGTTTATAACACAGTCTTGGGGATAAACGCGACTTGTAGGCCCATGCATCGTATGGGGCGTATTTCCGCTGTCGGGTCCCGTAATGAATGTTCACAACACAGCTCCGCGTCATCGCACTGGAGTCAAGTCCCAGACTACGACAAGAGTGTTCAATCGAGAGTCCAACAACTCGAACTTGCCCGGTATTTGCCTCGCTCTGGTATAGACAAGCTCGCTATCGTTGAATTGCTCTCCTTGACGGACGGAAGTGGAGCGTCCCCGCAATCCATATCTGACACAAGCAAACAAGCTCCTATCTCCGATATGAATGATGCCGCTGGAATCACGGAACATCTCAACATGGAAGGTTACCAGGCCTCGTTTTGCCACGAGATATGGGACCGGGATTTAGCGTGGCGATGCCTTGCAGTTCGAGCTATACCCAGCATGGCAAGTACAGCGGCCATTTCTTGACCCACATTTCCCTGCAAACCTATACACGCGATCCTACGCTAAGGTGTAGATAGTCGCCAATGGTGTCATTCGCCATTGTCAACGTCCACCTTACGATGATCTAGCATTTAACTGCTCTTGTCGTCTGCTTGAAGCGTCGTCGGAAGCAGCGCGCGGGGGAATACTACTACCTAATGTACATGTTATCGATCAACCCAGTTTTGACGCCTCTGGGCTTTGCGGCGTTCTTGGTCGTACTTGCGGTTGGCCTGGTATGGCGGACGCAGAAGACACCGAGCAAAAAGCTCTCTCCAACTTACGACGTGAAGCAAAAAGGTGCAGTTGATCAAAATATCCTTAATTTGAACAGCACTGACCTCTCCAAGTCCCATCTATACCATTCAAGACACCGTTACCGCAGCCGGCGGAGGACTACAAACTTGAGCTTACGGATCCCAAGCTCTATCGACCCTTCCGCCATGGCCCGAACTTTGTAACAATGGGCATTAGGAAAATGGATTGGGACCAGTGGATTGAAATGGATTCGAATTTCATCCCTTACCACGATGCCAAGGTTCGAGAGCTCGAGAAGGACGTCAAATCCCGGGTACAATATGTCGATAACGAAGTCACGCGCCTCGCATGCTTTGAGGTCCTGGAAGAGCTGACACAATATCTCACGCATCGCTATCCGGAAGTCTTCCAACTGCACGGCAACATCCTTCACAACACAGTCACTGGCGAAGAATTTCAATACCCAGCACCGAACCCGACGGAAGCTATGGTCACGGCAGCAAAGCTCGTACAGGACGATCTCGTAGTCATGGTACTGAATGAAGACGGCCAATACCATATCGACGCCGGCGCAGTCTGTCTACCCGGATTCTGGCGCCTGACTGAGAAGTACCGCATGTCGCTCGATGAACTCCATATCGAAGCCGGTGTACCGCACTACCAGGAGAAGTTGCAAAAGGCCATGAATCGCTTTTTCGCCAATATGACGTGTGAGAAGCCTGTCATTCGGAACAACGTAAGTAGCACCACAATCACTCCAAATACTGAGGTACCAGTGCTGATAGATCTATAGTTCTTCATCCAATTGGACGACGGTCTTGCTTGGTCCCACCGCATGGGCGATCAGAACTCCAACACAGTCGCCTCATGGGCCACTGCCAACTCCAAAGGTCTCCGTGTCGAAGACATCCACTTCCGCTCCGAACGGCAATCTCTGCGACGTCTGCCAAAGTCCAAAGCTCTTCTCTTCACTATCAGGACGTACTTCGAGCCGGTGACGACCATTGCGAAGGAGCCGCATGTACCAGGAAGACTGGCCGAGGCGATCAGGGGGTGGGATGAAACTGTCAGTTACTACAAGGGACGAGAGCATTGGGAGGGTCTGCTGCTCCCATATCTGGACGAGGAACATAGGAAGCAGGTTGATAGTGGTGTGTTGGAGAAGCCGGAGGGGGAATTTCCGTTTTGAGTGTAGGCTTCCCTGTCAAACTCAGTAGAGATATACTTTGCTGCATACACAAACGCCTCATTATACTTGGGTGGTCTGAAACATGAACTAGTGCTTCTATGCCTGCTACTCAGCTGATGAGGCTTAAGCTTCAAGAATGTGACCTGGGGCCAGCTAGCCCATATATCTCACACCTTTACTACAGTGAAAGCGTTTCAGGGCCACGCTGCACCTTTTGCATAGCATATGGTTCACATCACCAGGGGAGCCATGTTGAGTTTGCTGCATACACAATCTCAGATGTTGATATATGGGTAGTTCTAAAGGCAATGTATACTCTTGGGCAAGGACACCACTACATAGAATCGGATGCAACCTGGTGGACTTCTTGCACGGAAGGCTGCAATTTAGACAAATGTACAATCTTCTGCACTGGAGGAGGCCATGGTACAAGAGTTACGAGAGCCACGAGAAAGCGTGATCATCCGACAACCAGCGCAAAGAAATGCTACACCTTAGTAAACGTCCTCCACCTCGTCAGGCGGACCCTTGAACTCTGGGCAATGTCAGTAGGGACTCCAGCGGTGCATGATCAAGCAGATAAACATTGGAACTTACTGTTTCTGCCAGAGAGCGCATACCACAGCCCGCTCAAACACGCAAAGCCGACCAACACGACACTAGCGTAGTTCATCGAGACCTCAGTAACAGGAAGCGCAGTCGGCATGCTAAAGAGCACCAATTCGAACAAAATCCATGCCACAGCACCGATGTTTGCTGCGGTGCCCACCAGGCCACCGACATTCCATTTGGCATGTGCGACTTCTCTCCTGCCCGTGAAGAGAGAGATAGCAATGGGGACGAGGTAACCGATGGCGAGTGCGATGACGCCAACTGACGCAAAAGCAGTAAACGCACTGCTGGAGCCGAGATTGATAAGACCGAGTAGCATCTCGATGACTGTGACGAGCGTGAGCGAGTAGATGGGCCGGTCGGCGATGGTGCGTGTCCACAGGCCAGCGAGTGGAAGCGCGTTGTCGCGACTGAACGCCCATGTGCAGTGTGAAGCAGCAGTCGTGATCGCAATGGCGCAGAAGAGAGTGACGAATAGGATCATGATCATCAATATCAGCGCTCCTGTCTTTGAGCCCATGATAGAGTATATGATGTACGGCAGCGCTTGGCCGTAGGGTGCGTTGAGGATGTCTTCGAGCGGCGGTAGCGTAAAGCATAGCGGTAGGACGAACAGGAGCGATGCGAGACCACCGAAAGGTATGCAGAGGGCGATAGCACGAGAGACTTCAATCTCGGGCTGGGCGCACTCTTCCGTCATCGATGTCACCATACCGATGGCGGAGAAGGCGTATGCTGGTGGAAGAAGGCCGATGAAGAACGTAAAACCCGTACCCCAGCCTGAGAAGCTGCTGTCGTAGTTGCCGAGCGCGTAGGAGGCTGAATGTCGACCTTGCTGAGCGCGGACCGATAGAGCAACCAGAAGTGCGATGATGGTGATGAAGTTCCATACCGCGGCCACGGAGTCCACATACGGTAGCAGCTTGTCTCCCAATGAGCAAACAATGAAGACCAGCAGACACAGCGCGTAGAAGATGAGAAGCAGTTCCCAGTCCGATGCTACCCACTCTGGGTTGTAGATCGAGACCGTCGCAGCAATCAGAGAAGCGAACCCGAAGTTGACGGAAAGTGCAATCGTCCAATTTCCGATGAGCCAGAACCAGCCGGTCAGAAATGAGACGATCTTGCGTGTCCTCTTGCGCTCACCACAGAGCCGGTACGACCAGTAGTACACACCGGAAGATGTTGGATACCGTGATGCCAGCTCTGCAAGAGAAATGGCAACACACCCGTTGAAGAAGAGGACAACCAGTACCCCGACGAATATTGACAATTGGCCACCACCATAGATGGCGCTCATCAAGGGACCACCGATACCGTAGGGTACTGCTACGATGGCAAGACACATACCCAAAACGCTAATGAGTGACCGGTTCTTCGTGAGCTGTGCGTCGTATCCCAAGTGGACGTGCTCAACGACACCCTCCTCGCGGGTAGTCACCGGACCCATTGGATTGCCGAGCTTCTTTTCGCTGTTGGTTGCCGACATAGTGGGAAAATGGGGATTCTCGAAGTCAGGATGGTAGGAATGATGCGACAGCGAGTGTCTGCACGAGGTGAATGAATATAGCTGTTACAGGCAGTTTCATCTCATGCCGTACATGCGCTATGCTCGACAATGTGGCGTCCAGCATGATAAGATATGACGATAGTTCATTGTCCACCGATAGCGAGCATCGTCCATACTGGCTCTCTACCCCGGACTGAAGTGTCTTGATTCGAGGTCAAGCCTGTATTGACTGCATCGCTACTGACTCGTCAGAACATCGCTTCGAGATAAGCGGTGGCTTGAATAGTTCTGCAGACTGGAGCATGATAAAATAACCAAACCGGAAGTTCTCGCGTCAATGTAGGCTCCAGAGTGTTCGGTTTTCCCTTGTGCATGGTGCAGCGATGCCCTGTTTTGGAAGGATGATAGGCCTCTGGTAGTCGTTTCCGGGGCCCCAGATTTCGCGTGTAGAGCGCTCGCACATGACTTTGGTGGAAGGAAAGCTTATCTTTCGCTCAAGCCTTCGATGCGCCGTCAGATCCGTGCCGCTGGAAACATACAAGAAACGTCTCGAAAGTCTGGATAACGACTATGCCCGGGAGAGCAGTTTGGAGGGCAATGTCAAAGCGTGTGCTTGCGTGCTCGAGATGCCGATCGGACATTTGGGCCCTGATAGTGGAGCCTCTGCATTAGTGTGGTACTAAGCCGAAGGTGGCAAGTTGACGGGCAAAGATGGCCTTGAGAAACGCAGGCTACCTTATCACTTGAGGAAGTCACTGGCCAGCGCAAAATGTGGACATTTTGATCAAGTCGACGCCTAAGTGTTCCTTCGAAGTTCCGGGTCTGCCATGTGGACGCCTTGTTGATGGACCCACATTCAGAAAACCACCACATGCCTTCGGCAGCGCGCCTTGGTCAAGTTCTTGTCTGTTTTGGGAAAATCGATGGGCATAGCTTCTTGGAGTAGGATGATAGTCATCGCGAGTCTGATTATGATCATGTGGAACCGACGTCCTTGCAACCTCGGTGCGGGGTGGATGTGATGAAGACGCGTTGATCGAGGGCGCAGAATATGAAAAGACCAATTGTCCAGCTCTGTCCACGAGGTGCATCTTTCTATCATCCTTGTATAACACTTCCTGCATCTTACCCCTTCTTTTACCGCATACACATTTTCCACGATGGCCCAGTCGATCGACCTTACAGCACCTAATGGCACGAAGTGGACGCAGCCCACTGGTAAGCATCAACAACTTCCAATATTCTAGGCGTGAACAACTAACATTGGTTAGGCCTCTTCATCAACAACGAATTTGTCCCCTCCAAATCCGGCTCAACACTGGATTCGATAAATCCGTACGACGAGTCCGTCATCGCAAAGGTCTCCGCCGGTAACGAGGATGACGTAGATGCTGCAGTCGCCGCAGCACGAGCTGCCTTCAAGTCATCAGCATGGCGCGACATTTCCGCCGCCGAACGAGGCCAACTGCTGTGGAAGCTCGGTGACCTTTGCGAGAAGAACAGCCATATTCTTGCTACCGTCGATGCGTGGGACAACGGCAAGCCTTACCAGCAAGCCATGGACGAAGACGTCGCTGAGACTATCTCGGTCTTCAGATACTACGCTGGATGGGCGGACAAAGTGTATGGGCAAACGATTGAGACGAGCAATGCGAAGCTGGCATATACCAAACACGAACCCCTTGGCGTCTGTGGACAGATCATTCCCTGGAACTTCCCTGTCATGGTATGTATCCATCGACTCTGGCTGGTGTAATTCAAAGCTAACAAGCTTCATAGATGGCTGCTTGGAAACTCGGTCCAGCATTAGCTTGCGGAAACACCATTGTGCTCAAGCCAGCAGAGCAGACACCACTGGGGGCACTATTCTTGGCCACCTTGATCAGGGAGGCTGGTTTCCCTCCAGGTGTAGTCAACATCGTCAACGGCTACGGAAAGAGCGCGGGCTCGCGACTTTCCGAACATCCAAATGTCGACAAGATTGCTTTCACAGGAAGCACCATTACCGGCCGGGCCATCATGAAGGCTGCAGCAACGAATTTGAAGAATATCACTTTGGAGACTGGCGGCAAGAGCCCACTCCTTGTCTTCGATGACTGCGATCTCGAACAGGCTGTGAAGTGGTCGCACATGGGTATCATGGGTAAGCTCCCTCCTCTTTGCAGTATCCACTTCCTGTAATTGTGACTAACGAATCGTCAAGGGAACATGGGACAAGTCTGTACAGCGACCTCGCGTCTTTATGTCCAGGACACCATCTACGACAAGTTTCTCGAAGCATTCAAGAAGCAGACCAAAGAGAGTACCAAAATTGGTTCGCAGTTCGATGCCGACACCAATCATGGACCTCAAGTCAGCAAAGCTGCCCAAGAGAAGATCCTCGCATACCTCGACACAGCGAAATCAGACGGAGCTGAGCTCATCTTCGGCGGCAAGCAGAGCGGCATACCAGAGAAGGGATATTTCGTCGAGCCGACTGTGTTTGCCAACTGCAGCAATGATATGAGGATCGTGCGCGAAGAGATTTTCGGCCCTTTTGTTGTTATTCAGAGCTTCAAAACGGAAGACGAAGCGGTCGAGAAGGCGAACGATACGGAGTTCGGATTGGGAGCGGCTGTGTTCACTCGGGACATTATGAGGGGTCACCGCGTGGCAGGTGCGATCGAGGCGGGTATGGTTTGGATCAACAGCAGTCAGGACTCGCATTTCGGGATCCCCTTCGGTGGCTACAAGCAGAGCGGTATTGGGAGGGAGCTGGGCGCGTATGCGCTGTCTGCGTACACGCAAGTGAAAGCTGTCCATGTTAACTTGGGCACGTTCTTGTAGACTTACTTTTGATGAATTATATTGCAATGTGTGCCATTCCGATGTATCGCTTCACACGCAATGTGGTTGCATGAAGGATGATGGTGCTCCTACCAAAGTGAGATCTCGGGCAATGGGTGATGACGCAGCGTGTCATAGTCGCGTCGCGTCGGATTAACACCGCTTCACGCTTATCTCCGTCTCAGCAGCCGCCACCCACCCAGCAGCACCTTCTACGACCACTACTGCAATCCCAGACTCAACACCCGTTCCTGGGCCCCTCTCCGTTCGAAAGCCGGTTATCGCATGCGCAAAACCCTTCAATGGTCCTCGGCTTCGAGCGCATCAACGAGCGCACCCAACGCCCGAACGCGCACATAAACTTCATACGCACACTGCCCGGCCCGACATCGTCCACGGCGGAACACATCCTGAACCGCGTCGCAGCGATATGCTACCCCTTCATGAAATCGCACATGATCCTCGTTCAGGCGCTCGAAGAATTCCCCTACAACACCGAGTTTGTCGGTCGCAATTTCAATGCTGGCGAGGTCATACAACTGGTGCTCAGGGACCGAAATGGAAGATGGCTGCCCCAGAGGATGGTGGAGATGGTCATGGTACATGAGCTTGCGCACTGCAAACAGATGAATCATTCAAAGGCTTTCTGGAAGGTTCGAGATGGATACTCGGTGGAGTTGAGGGCGCTCTGGGCAAAAGGATATACTGGTGAAGGATTGTGGGGTAGGGGTAGAGATCTTGATACAGGAGCCTTACAAGCGAGCGATGGCGAGGCTGTGGATGTACCCGAGCATCTGTGTGGTGGCACATATGGACGGAAGGGAAACAAGAGGAAGAGGGGTGGAAAGGAGAAGCCCGTGCTGAGCTATGCGGAGAGGAAGCAACGAAGGATAATGAAGAAGTTCGGAGCTGGAGGCCAGGCATTGGGCGCCGACGACGACACAAAAGTCAAGCTGGAGAAGGGTGTTCCAAAGAAAGGCAAGCCTAGGGTCGCTGGCAGTGCACGAGGGCGGGATCTCCGAGCTGCGGCGGCATTGGCACGTTTCGAGCCAGTCAAGAAGGAGGAAGAGGTCGTGATAAAGAAAGAGGAACCGTCATCGGACAGCGAAACAGAAGACGAGTTTGTCGAAGGCGATCAAGACGGCGCAGCGGTAGACATAGATGGCAAAAGTATGTTCGACGACAAAGGCCGCGCCCTGGTCAAGATCTGCGAGGACGAAGACGACAAAGATGGCGATGCAAGGAGGGAGATGGACGAGATACAAGGTTTTGCGCCGCAGCCCAAAGCAAGGAAGAAGACAACCTCGTCTAAAGCCTCGAACAAGCCAACAGCACCGAAGCCAACGAAGACTCAGTCTGCACCAAAGACCGCCTCGCGATCGTCTGCCAACGCGAAAGCATCATCAGGGCCTGGCAACTCCCTCCCCGAGATCTTCAAACCCCGTCCGAAACCAGACACTTCTGCCCCCCAACCACCGCATAGCTCTGCCTGCCCCATTTGCTCTCTTGAGAACGAGGCTGGGGCATTGACCTGCGTCGCTTGCGCAAACGTATTAAAGAGGGACTTTGTGCCCGACCATTGGCGATGCAAGAGCGCTGCTTGCGAGGGAAGCCAGTACATCAACGCCGGGGACGCAGGTGCTTGTGGCGTCTGTGGGATGACTAGGAAGAGATGAGATGATCAAGCGTAGCTGTATGAGGAAGAGCTTGTCGCGGCGATGGCGATGGAACGATTATGATACCCAATTTTCTCGAGAAATAACAACACCACTATAATGCATTGCATTCCGAGCAGATCAAATCCAGATGTCATGACTTCATTCCATGCAATAACGCTACGCTAAAGTCGACAGTGGCAAACCACAACACCCATCCCATGATGATCAACACCAAGCCATGCATAGTAATGACCAAAGAACGCCTTCCGCCTCACATCATTCAGGGGTATTGCAAGTCCTACCGCGCAATCCTCAGATGTGAAGCTCCCAAATTCTTCCTAGCGCTAGTCGGCATGCCGGCGCTCCTTCCACTATTCCGCCTCATACCTTCCAACTTTGCCTTGAGCTGTTCATGTATCTTCCTGTTCTGTGCCCAGCCATCGGCCAGCTTTTGCATTCGAATAGCGGCGATGACAGCGAGAGCTGCAGATTTGAGCTTGGGTCGGCGGTCGTGGACGGTGATGTCGGGGGTGATGCCCATCTGAGAGATGAGATTGAGGTCTTCTTGATTGCTGGGAGGTGTTAGTGGCTGTGCTGCCCAGAGTCTCTGGTAAAGGGGTGGAGACATACCATTCATTGTAAGTCTGAATCTGCATCAAGAAGAACTTCTTTTGGTACCCAAGGGCTTCCCGGAACGCCTCTGCTCGCGAGCATCGTGCGCGGAGGAACTGGATCTGCTTGGCGAGACCGTTGATCTCTTTGATATGGCGCTTAGTAAGGGCTTCCGCCTGTTCGTCCAGATCAATCGCATCCTGATTGGCCTTTTGTTGGATGGACTTCGAGGAAGCTTGGATGAGACGAAGCTGCGATTCCTTCTCACGGAGATGAGACTGTAGGTCTCGTAGTTGACGCTCAAGGGCGGATTGCTGTTCCCGTGCTGTCGACTTGGCTTCAGATAGAGATTTGCGGTGTTGAGCATCCTTGTCGCGGATTCGTCCTTCGAGATCGCGAATTTGGTTCTTAAGAGCGGCCTCTTGTTCGCGCTGTGCCGCACGGGTCTGAGATTGCAGGGCTCCGTTTTCGCTCTCCTTTTCACGTATCATGGATTCCAGAACGGTGATCTTCTCTTCGAGTGAGGCCTTCTCTTCGGCGACTTCGTCGGCATCCTCTTGCAGAACTTCTATTTCAGCTTCGAAGTCGTCCTTCTCCCGGCGAGCGTTCTCCTTGAGCTCTTCAAGTGCTTCCAAGCGCTCCTCTGCAAGTCGTTGCAGGGCATCAACTTGGCTCCTCTGCTCGTTCAGCTCGTCGCGCAAATTCTCTAGCTCGTCGTCGCGTTTGCGTACTAGGTCCTGCATAACATCGATTTGGGTATCGGGCTCGTCGGCATGGCTCCGTAACGCGTCAAGCTCGGCCTCGCGCTCGGTTATCGTTCGTCGCGCCGTATCCAGCTCCCGGGTCCTGTCACTGAGGTCATTCCTGAGTTGTTTGAGCTCCTTGAGTGTTGTCTCTTGTGTTTCAATCTTCCTCTGCAGGCCGGCGATATCGCGCTCACGAGCTTGCAACGTTGATTGCGAGCTCGAAAGATCTCGAGATAGTGCATCCCGTTCGCGCGTGATCTTCTGGAGCGCCTCGATCTGGGTGTCCTTGCCAGATACAGCGGACCGTAAGTTGCGCAATTCGCTCTCGATGTCTTTACGCTCCTGCCGCAGAGTAGCTACCAGTGTGTCGCGGTCGTTGTTGCCTCTGCGCAAAACCTCCACTTGCTCATCTTTGCTCGACATCTTGGAAACCAAGTTGTCGCGCTCACGGCGAAGATTGTCACGTTCTCGTATGGCGTTGTTGAGCGACTGCACCTGAGCATCTTTGCTGTTAAGGTTTGAGCGAAGGCCGGTAAGCTCCTGCGTCGCATCGTCGCGCTCGCGTCGTACTCTTTCCAAACCATCCAGATCGCGGTCTTTCTGGTTCAATTCGCGTCGAAGCTGTTGCAACTGCTGTTCGTACGCGGATGCTTCCCGTTGTAGGCGTGAAATCTGCTGCATGGCGTCTTGGTGTTGCTTTCGGAAGTCGTCCAGCTCATCGGCTCTGGATTCAGCAGCGTCAACCCTCGACTGGAGGAGTTCAATCTCAACGCCCTTTTCACGAGTAATCTCGACCACCTTCTGTCTGGCATCGTTGGCGGATTGCTGCGCCAATTGGACCTGGTTGTCACCCTGAGACTCTGCAAGCTCCAAACGTTCGCGCAGTGCATCCATCTCGGCCTCTTTCTCGTTCTGAATGGTTTGGAGACGTCGCTGCAGCTCTCGGAGTTCAGCATCCTTTTCGCGCTCCAGTGAACGTAGACGCTCTTCGAGAACAGAGAGTTCCTGGCGTTTTTGCTCTTCTGCGACCTCGAGATCATGTTCGGCTTCGTCCAAGCTCTCGTTTAACTCCTGAATTTCCTGGTCCTTGCTGTCGTCAGCGCTGTCGAGCTTGGACTTCAACGCGTTGATTTCAGCGTCCTTCTCGCGCTCGACAGCACGGAGTTGTTCCTGGAGGTCCTCGATCTTCTCGCCCTGTTCAGCCACCTGCCGCTCCTTTTCTGTAGTGTCTTCTTCTTGCGACTGCTTGGCTGATTGCAGCTGTTCTTCCAACTTGGCGATGCGTTCAGCTTGTTCCCTAAGTTGGCGGTCCTTCTCCTCGTCCCCAGCAGACTGAGAATTTTGCGCATTCTTCAGCTTCTCCTCCAAGTCCTTGATCTGTTCGTCCTGGTCGTCTAGCATCTCGTCTCGTCTGTTAAGCTCTGCTTGTGCCTCGTCCAACTCTGCTTTGGCCTTGTCCAGCTCCTCGCTGTCGCCACTCTCTTCTTCCAGCTTCCTTTCGAGACGCTCCACCTCGGCCGCGCGTTCGTCGGCTAGCCGTCGGAGCTCGTCCATCTCTTCCCGCATGCCTTCGTCGACGTGCCGTCGCTTGACCTTCTCGGCGTATTCCCGTAGCTGCTGTTTGTATGTGTCTAGTTCCCTCTCGGCCGCTTTGAGGTCTTTCGAGTAGTTCTTGATATCGCGCGCCATCGTGACCTTCTCCGACTTAAGGTTGATGTTCTCCTCCATGGCTTGTCGGTTGAACTCGGGGCCCATCTTCTTCAGGTTCTCTTCGAGGAAGTGGATCTTGAGCTTTAGTCCGAAGTTTTCCTTGTCGATCTGCTCCAGACGCTGCAGTTGTGTTAGGACCTGTGAGTAGTCGTGAGCGGGCGAGCCCGGATATACATACCGCTTCCTGCTCTCTCAGAGTGAGCACATTGCCGTTTCCGTTGTCCATTTCGCCCTCTGCCCTTCTTGGTAGCGCGGTGGGCGTGCTCATAGCACTCGAGCTGGGGCCTGGCAGCTGTGTCCGGCCATCGACCGAATCGGCGAAGGAACTGGATTGTATGTCGTACATGCTCGCCTCGGGCAGCGGCGTGTTGCTCACTTGGAAGCCTGGCTTCATCGCGGCGGGCGTCGTGATCTTGCCGTCGAGCAGTCCGTTGACCTGGCGCGTGCGATTCGCGGTTGCGCTCTTCAGCATGGGCGTGAATTCGTTCTTCGCGGTTTGTTGGCGTCGGGATGCAAGCGGCTGTCGGGGGGTTCGGGCGCCGCCCATCTGTTTGAAGAGGTTGTCGCGGTCTGTCGGCGCATGAAATGTCTCCTCCATGCTGAATGAGGGCTCGTTGACTGTAAAGCGCGTCATATCGCCAACCTCGGTGCGAGGCGTGTCTGGTAGGTGCGCCATGGTATAGAATGTACTCTAGCAGCGCATGAGTGAGAGAAATAGAAAAGTCCTTTGGGGCGCACCTCAACAGTGCGGATGCTACATGTTCCACTTCATCATACTCCAGATGTTGTTTGTTTAGGGACGCTTGGACCACGACAGGGATACTGCCCGCCGCTAGCCCATGCAGGCAAGGACCCGAAAAGCGCGTCTGGAAGTCACGTTACCTCTTTGCCGCCTACACCACCTGGGCAGAGACTTCAATCCAGGAATAAATGCTCCTCTGCTACTAAGTACATCCATTTCCGCCCCTCGAGAACAGTGGCAATACGAAAACGCAACCTAAAAGTACCGAACCGACTATACCCGCACAAGCGTTGGGCTCAGTCTCGAAACGAACAACAACGAAGCCAAGATCCATCTGACTGGCTCCGAAGACCAAAGATAGCACCATCTGGAATATATATCCTGGACCATGGACGGGCCACAAGACGACCTTAAGTGGTTTGGTGAAGGATTCGATGGCTTTCCCAAAAAGCTGCCCGATGATGTCGTGGAATACATGGTCTTCATCATCGATTCTAGGCTCTCGGACATTCAGACAAGAGAACGGTTACAAGCTTTCCAACGCGCTCTAAATGCATTAGAGAAGAAGTTTCTTAAAGAGTACATATGGCAGCGTGACTCTCTCAAGCTCGATCTAGTTCGCGAAGAACACCAGTGGCTGCTCAAAGGACGCTCTAACTACGGCGACAGTGTGGCAGACGAATGGCTCATTGTCTACTTTCTACGTGAACTAAGCAAAGAGTTCAAGGACGCATGGATACGCATATATGACAGCGATGGAGAATTCCTCTTGATTGAAGCTGCCAATGCGCTACCGAAATGGCTGAACCCTGAGGTTGCCGAGAACAGAGTCTGGATCAACAGCCATCGCCTACTAATCATACCACTTGGGAAAGAAGAGGAGCCCGGCCCTTTGACTCAAGCCCAAGCTATTCAGATCATCGACGCTACACCAGCACGACCACAGCAGTACATGAAGGTTGAAAAGGAGGCATTTCATCGCCTGGCTGGTTATCCGGCTGCCATCTCGGAGAATCAACATCATGCGACTCTTCCCCTGCCAAGAAAGGTTGCACACATTCTGCATAGTAACCCGTCGTATATTGCACCAGTAGTCGAAGCCTTCTATCTTCGAGACCCCATCTCCATCCGGCTTATCCAACCCGAAAAGTCCAAAACCCCGCTCACGTTCCCACCGGAAGACTTTGTTGACGTTAGCGTTCGTTTCACTAAAGTTCTTTACGCTCAGCTTCTCGGTCAGCATTGGGAACCGCCCGCGCCATGGGACGCAGCACTGGAGCAGCTCGTCAAGTCTGGTAGACCAACCGAGAAGGCAGAGATCGGAATCAAGATCACAGCAGGGATGCAGATGCTTCTGTCGCACTCTTTATACACATCCCGCAAACCGACGCGTGAGATCGCCCTTCTACTAGAAGATTTGGAAAGTGGCGACGACACACTTCCTACCGACGCCGAAATCGCCGGTTGGCCCAAGCGTGAAGACGATGAAGGGTGGCTCAACATTGACTTCTCTGAGTTTGAGAAGGAGCTGGAAGGTAAAGGAAGCGGCGCGAAAGACGCGTTTGGTGACAAGAATGCGGAGGAGAATTTGAAGAAAATGGTCGCACGCTTCAACGACTTCCTGGCCGACAACGAAGCAGGCGCTGAGGGTGCTGATGGCGTTCTAGACCCTATGGATGTTGACAATGATTCTGACGCTGGCGGCAGAGGATGGGAAGACCCAGAAGATAGTGATTCGCCAGCCGAGAACGAAACTAAGAGCAGGGGCAAGAGCAAGGCGAAGGCCAGGAATAGCGAGGATGAGGATGACACGGATGGAGACGACGACGCAGAAGCCGACGCGGAGTATGCCGAATACGAACAAGCCTTCGAAAAGTACATGATGCTACCCGCGGCGGAGAAAGCCATTCTCACAGAGGAAGCTCGCGCACTAGCGCTCGAACAAGACGCTGAGAAGGAAGAAGACGAAGAGATCCAGAAACTCAGTGAGATGATGGAAGCTGAGCTCTTCAGCCATGGTGCGCTGAACGTCAACCCCAAATCGGAGCACAAGCCCGGAACAGGTCTCCTGTCCGACAGCAAAGGAAAGGGCAAGGGGAAGCTTCAAGAGGTCGCTGAAGAAGACGAGGAGGATGATGACGATGACCTTCTGGACGAAGACTACAACCTCGCTGATAACATGCTGAAGGCGTTCAAGGGACAGGCTGGCATGGCGGGTCCTGCAGGCAACATGATGAGGGCGATGGGCGTGCAGTTTCCACAGGACGCTGATGATGAGATCAAAGGAAGCAGTAGTAAGGGTAAAGGCGCGTAAGATGTCTAGCACGTACAATTATTTACAACAACTTCCGTATGAGTAATTTATGTTCCTTCCTCCATCCACTCGTACTTATCTCTGCCCACTGCCACTTCCAGTGCCTCCTTCTCCACTTTGACCCCATTCTCCTCCAACGTCCTGTTTCGCACATTTACTAATCGCCTGTATATCGGCGAACTCTCAGCGACCAACTTCCTTCTTCTGTTTATTACCTCTGTCTGACTCTTCCCCTTTATCTTCAACATCTGCGCAAGCTCTTTGTCCTCTTTACCCTCTACATACAAATGCAGAATCGCCTCGTCATCTTCCGGAGTGAAATGACAAAGCTTTTTGCGCCGTTGTAGATCGATAACATCTTGCGGTACTTTTTTCATAACCTTGAGGGCTTGCCATCGAGATTGGATCGCTTCGACCGGGATGTTCATCTCGCGAGAGATGGCTTTGGGTTTCTGCATGCGGCGGTGTCCGTCGATCACAGCGGCATCGAGCTCTGGAGTCCAGTTTATGGTGGCGCTCACGTCTCTTTGTCGGATCATGGCGTAACGATGCTGAGTAGCATGTGCGGTGCGGTTAAGGACTTTCGCTGCTTGTTCATAAGTCATTGTCTCTATCTCAATGAGACGGATGAGTTGGCTTTCCTCATCGTAGTTCCATCGACGCTTCTCGGCCGGGGCTTTCCGGGGACAGGATTCGCTGGGGTATAGGGCGTCCATGATGAAACAAAATTGAAGGTCGTCCTTTGAGTGTTAAAGAGTTGAGTAAGCCGGTTTTGTGAGTGTTAGTAACATTATGTGGGCATAGTAGCCGAGTATATATCTAGAGAGGAGAGTGGCGGGAAGCGTCAGCTGTGACATGTGTTAGGCACCAGAAGGGGATCACAGCTTGAACATGAATTCACTTTGTATCGAATGCGATCTCGTGCCCTGGCAAGAGTACACGAGCAAGTATTTTGTAGCTCGGAGAGGCAGTCCTAGTCTAGCGTAGACCCCTGCTAGGTAGCGATCAAAGTCATGACACCGAGTGAATGCGAATATTCCCGATACGAAATAGCTCATTCTAGTAGTGCGATTGGCTTTTTCACAATAAACGCAAAGCAAAAAGTTCCTAATGAGTTCGGAAATAGATGAGTTGAATTGGTCTTATCGCACTGTTGACCATGGGATCTAATGAGACCCAGGAAGAATGGTGCGCCCACCCGCCAGAAGTACTGGATGCTCATATGACCTGTGAAAAGCCCAATACCAATATCACTGGCTCCGTATCCTCCAAAAGTCATTCACATCTCCCTATACAATCCAAAGATCTTGGTTGTAGCCACCCTGCTCATGTACTGCCCATGCTCGCTAATCAAACACCATGAACTCCTCCATGAACTTGTCTGCCTCCTCGTCATTTGGATTCGTCCTCTCTTTCTCGTGATGATAGACCGAATGGACTGCCTGCTTGAACCACCGACCAAGTTTATACCTCACTTCCTCTTCATGACATTGACTGAGCCACCCAGGCGTGTGGTACAGGGCCGTTGCCGTCTTGCGGCAGCTATTTTGCACAGCCCGCAGGACTTGACCGTGAACCTTCCACCTTCTGTCGTCACCGCAGGCAGCGATCCCATATTCTCCAATATGCTCCTTCGTAAGCGATGCCCACTCGGCCGCGAGGTAAGGTCCAACAACGCTGCGGGGAATGAAGCCGCTTTGCTCCATAAATACGCCGGAGGAGGGATGTGGTAGTTCGAGACAGATGTAATAGTAGTCGCCGTACTCGTACGCAATGCCGATTCTGTTCAGGTCTACGGTGTTGGGGTTGAATGTAAAGAATGTGTCTCGGAAGTAGAAAGAAGGGCCATAAGCGGGAGCGGGCTGGTCACTACCGGACGCCGGTAGAGTGACGGTAGAATCGCTGACCTTTTTCGCAGTCTGGCGCGTTTCAGTGCCGGTCACCAGGCTGTCTGATCGTGCTTTGATTTTCGAGGCGTCTGGAGTAGATTTGACCGCGTCAGATGCGTTGTGACGAGGACGCCATCTGATGGAACGGTATGGATATGCGTCGACGTTAATTTTGAGTACCGAGATAATATTGGACGCTTCCGTTGCTGTAGTTAGCGAAGCGCCGTATTCGCGTTCCGCCATTTTGTGGGTAATATGCTGTCCGCCAGAGGTGGTAGAAGGTAAAAGAACTTGGAACGGAAGGCAGAATCGCAAAGGTTGAAGTCGCGTTTGTGACGACAATAGATCCTCGCAGGAGGGAACGAACAATGTTAGGTGACGTAGAGTCCGCAGAGCATCTCGCAACTTCAATTCGGCTTTTCAACGTCTTTTCGCTTTTTCTTCGCTTTACAGTAATTGTTCCATGCTCGTCGAAATTACTCTAGCGCTGTTCCATGGGAGTGGATGCCCGCCCAAGTATGGCTCCACGCACTACCAGCCCGGCAACAGAAGCGTAGTGTCGGAGGCCAAGCGCAAAGTGAAAACTATGCCAACGTCAGCACAAGTGAGGGTAAGTGAGTAAATCTGTTGCGGACATAGCGTACGTGACCTCCGAGATTTCGTGACCTTCGCTGAACATCCACCTCACTGTCAGGCCCGACACCCACACGTATCCACCCCGCCTTCTTTCCACTTCAACTACAATGTCCAACCCGAATTCTCCAACAGACATCGAGGCGGTCCACAGAAGCGTCGGACTGATCACGCCCTCCTCCGCCCCGCTGCCCATACCTACTGCGATTATCGCCGATCAAGGCGCCTACTGTAATGTAATCCGCACGACCTACATATTAGACACAAACTGACGTCACACCCCAACATTTAGACATGATCTGCTTCGAGCCCGACAATGCCGGTATCACCACGACCCCGCCGCTCTCTGCAAGGAAAGACTTCGTCGCCGCCAACTATCCAGACCTCGTCCAAGCTTGGAACAGGAAGAGAAAAGATGACTGGGAAGAAGCGCTACACATGAAGCAGAGGATTACCGACTACGCGGTCTTTTTCCGGGGTAGGCAGCGCGCTGGCGTATTGGCAAGACGCGATGCGGGAGTGGCATGCGATCAAAAGTTGCTCCCGGGGATGAAGCGCCATTTTGGTGAGTTGCGACCCTGCGCAACACACGCTCGCGAGCGGGGTGCCTTCCTGGTCTGTAACGGCTGTCGTGTCGCGCATCATGCGCAGGTAGAGCGAGACTTCGAGCGAAATCGCCTGATGACGGAAGGAGCGCGCGTGCCAGTGTGCGAGTTCTGCGCGAGGAGGTCGGTCCTGGATCTGGGAGAGGGACACCGAGGTTGTGCATGCGATCAAGAATGGCAGTGTTTTCGGTGTCGGGAGGACTTTCTCAGGAAACTCGCGAAGGCAAGGCAGCGGTCGCACGTGGAGGGGAAGTGTGGGAAATGCGATAGTGTGGATGACGTCGTGGAGCATGTGAAAGTATGCCTCCTCTGTCAGGGAGTGAACGTGTGTAGCAAGCATGTGTGAAGGACGTTGAGATAAGACAAAAGCGGACATTTCGGACACGTGTTTTGGAGCTTCACGGAGAAAATACATAGCCGTTGCATTAAGAAAGCCTACTTTACCTGGGTCAACGAAAAGGCAATAGCACCATAGATGAAGTTGAACCAAATGCACGTCGCTCTTTCTTCGCGCAACCTCAGTACCGTGGCGTGAGTTTGACATCTAGCTTCCCCACTATGATGGTAAAGCAGTCTCGGGTCTTGTTCTCGATTGTACTGCCATCCTCACCCTCAGCAAAAGAGATCTCGAATGATCTAACAAGATTGGCAGTGACACTGCGCAGCTCCATCATGGCTAGCTTCTGTCCGATACAGTTGTACGGTCCAATGGAGAAAGGTAGATAGGCACGTTTGTCGATGATAGCACCAAGCCGTTCGCCGGTCCATCGCTCTGGCATGAAAGACAGCGGCTCTTCAAAGTATCGTGGGTCGCGTTGCAGGCTGTAGAACGGCATCCATACATTAACTCTTCCGGGTATATATGTGCCGTTGGGTAGAGTTATTCCTTCAGGTGGTGTCTCGCGCTGCGCTCCGGAGGGTGTCTGAATGTGTTAATGATGTCAATGATGGCCTCCTTGGGTGAATACTTACAGCAGGATGAAGGCGCAAAGTCTCGTTGATTACCCCGTCCAGATAAGCACACTCGGTGACGTCTTCAACATTAAGATGCGCTTTCTTCGTTTCGATTTCATCAATTGCGGTGCGCAGCTTGGCTTGGGTCTCCAGATTCTTGCACAGCTCGTACAAAAGAAATGATAACGTTGCAGCCACGGTATCGCTGATGATCATGTCAGTATTCGGGACTTTAGATGGAGGTTGCAACAGGATCAAGTGCAATGCCGTATCTAGGCAAAACCTCGTAACGCCTGGCACCAAGTACTTCATGGGGTTGCTTACCTGCCCGCTATGACCAGAAGCCGCGAATCAGAATTCATCTCGGGCGTTATCCGGTCGTCATTTGGGTCCAGCAGAGAAGAGAAAACGTCCTTCTCTTTGGGTGTATCCTGGTATTCGTGAGAAATCTTCATTGAGATGGAGGTTATCGCCATGGCATGCGTACCTTTTTCCGCTCTTCGAGAACCTTTGCACTCCAGGCTATATGCTCAAAGAGGGGTCCAGAACCGACAGGTGTTAGTGCGATAAGCCGCATCGCCCAAGAGATGTGCGCAAAAACACTTATGGGTGCGTGGCTCTCATGCAATAGCTTGATGACAGGATCTTCTTTACCCTTCTCCATCATGTCAAAGCTGCGGTTGAAGCCGACATCTCCCATAACATCAAAGCTGTAGAAGTTGACCCAGTCTGTAATTCGAACTGAAGATCGTGTAGCTCGCTCTTTGAGCTTGGACATGAGAGTAAGAGCATGGCGGTTCAAGCGAGGCTCATATTCGCGGAGAGCATTTGCGTTGAATGCACGATCCCACATCTTGCGCCTTTGTCGATGTTCATCTTTGTTAGTTGTGAAATGAAGAGAACGCCCTGCCACTTCGGAAATACTGTCGTATATAGTGTTCTTCTTGCACTTCGAAGTCGCTCCATGGATCAGAGGAACGGCGTCAGCGCAGTAGACCGTGACTTCTACATTTGGACAGGCAAAGTCAGTGTCTGTGTCACACACACCTTCATTGTCTTGGGCTTACCTCTAGGACCAGTACGAATGACGTCTTCTCCGTACTGCTGGGGTAAAGAGTCGAGCCATGAGAAATACTGGAAGTTGGTCGAAAGTACTCCGACCGAGATGCCGTATGACTTTGAGAATCGGGCGAGGAAGGGGCCAGGGAACTTTGCAATGTCAGCAAATCCTACTTGATCAACGTCAACGAAGCGCTTGCCTTTCGCAAGCGATGGAAGAATCCCCTATGCAGTAATATGCTGGCAATCAAGATGGCGAAATAGAATGTTGCCGTCCTTGCCGCAAGCTGGATTGCGACACCAAGAGATTTAGTGGACGTATCAGCAACATATTCGAGAGTCGCAATGCCTCCAAAGGCGACAGTCCAGACTCCAATGACTGTGTGGAAGGTGTTATCCCAGTCGCTTCGGTGAAGAGCATAGTGAGTTGCCAATGCTAGTGACGCAATTAATGTTTTGCTGTGCGCAAGCTCCATGATTCCGTACGGCATGATAGCTGATGGAGAAGGAGATGAAAGAGCTCGAGAGATGTTGGAATGATGAAGGGGTTGCTGAGACCATGAGGAGCTGAATGGAAGGTTGGACCCTGAAAAGCCGAACATTTGGACGGACCGTACGAGTGAAACGCACGATCTTGGAATTTCGTGTTAGCACGCGCGGCTGAGAGCTGCAGGTAAATTTTGACCAGAGCTGAGGGAGCACAGGATTTTAACAATCGCCATTGTGCTGCGGCGTAGTTGATGCAGCAGCAAACATTGCCTCTGTCATGCTGTGCCTCCTATGCCCAGGTCTGAGGTGGATATTTTGGAATGCGCCTGCGGACCGTTAGCTTGCAGGGATTACGTGCTACCAAAGCGGGGCACTAACCTGATGGAGGCTACTTGGCAAGAGCTCCTTGCTTGACAATCGCGTCGCTGCACAATCTTTCTTTTCGGAACTCTACCAATCCCCAATTACATGCCGAGGTCTCAGCCCCTAGGTACATCGAATGGTGTCACGACGCGCTTATAAAGCCACCACAACGTGAAACTATTCTCCTAACAGAACCTTGCTGATAAGCCCTAGGCTAAAGACATCCCGAAGCCTTGAATGTGTCTCGGACCTGTCGTTGCCAAGCGGTCGTTGAGTCTTCCTCGCTCGATTGAACCCTGTCATCTTCTGACTCGCAATCGCTGTTGAACATCTCTTTCCTGGAGAATTCACGGCTGATGGGAATGCCATTCTGCACGGCGACTCGGTAATGCACCTGGAAGTCAAGCCTGGAATCGATGCATGAGCCTGATCCATCCGCTAGCTTGCTTCGTGGTTGTGCAAGCATGTGGCACCGCATGTGAGATATTGTATCTGCCACTCTTCGCAGCCGCGGACGATCAAAGTTCCAATGTACGTTGAGGTGTTCGAGCGTTTCCACTTTCAACAACGGTTCGATCCAGGAAGCGACCCATGGTCTTGGCCCAACGGTCATCTGTGCTTCCCACAACAAACACTCTTCCGCTGAAGAAGGCGCAGTGTCATAGCGCTGATGGGAACTGCTGATCATTAGGTGAAGCCTCCGTAACCCCATGCGCGTGGTGGACAAGAGAGTACAGAGGTCCGTGAAGTGGTTATAAGCGAATTGCAGCACAAGCGAGTCTGTTGACCTGCGGAGAACGGGATAATGAGCTCCAATGGTGCCTCTCATATTGCTCGCTTCCACTAACGCAAGCTTCATGGAGGAGATAAGCTTGAGGGATTCGGCAGGCCTGTCGCACAAGAATGCGAAAGCGGTCGGTATGCTGAGGCTTTCCGTAAAGCTGAAAATATTCTGTCCATAAAAGACCTTTCTAGCTTCGTGATAGATCTGCCGGCATGTTTGCAACAATCGAATTTCGATGTGGTTGGACGACGTGTCTGATGGAATTGCAAGTTGATATGTCATTCGGATGTTCGTAGGCCCATCCCTTGAGTCGTACTCCGCGGAGGTCAGACCAATGTCGAAGCGAGGTGTCAGCCAGATCCGTCGGTGGGCGCGTAGACGTCTCAACGGGTAAGCTTTCTCGAGCCCACGGGTACTGCGGCAAGCCGGGGCTTCCAATAGGACGGCTGCGCTTTGAACGGGAATCACATCGCATACGAGGACGTATCCATAAATAAGATCTCGAAGCTCCCGCGGAAGTTTAAGGAGTCGCGAAGACATGGTGGCACAGATCAGGGGTTCACTGCGCAGCCGTTGAGGATAAAGGCGTGTCAAGTCGATTAGGGGAGATGTGATGACGCCGTTCGTTCCGAGAACGGCTAGGCCAATTGACCGCGCACCTGGACAGGGGCCGAGGTCGGACTATCCCCCGCTCCTCTCCTCTCGCGCCATACGACCACCTTACACAAGAAAGAAATTGAACAGGTGCACTGGCGTCTGTAGTAAGGTAACAGCTGAAATAAACAAGACCTGAAGGCAGTGTAGACTTCAGAGGGATGCGTGTTGGAATCTTCCTTTGCACGAAGCTCATTCTCTGTCAGCTCTAGTGCTCTTCTATCAATACCAGATGACGAATATAGACTGGGTTCATGTTCACAGAAGAACAGGTTAAGAGGTGAAGACATAGCTAAGGATGTGACAGTCAAATTGGCTATAAGCTGTATATACAAGAATCTTATCGATCGTCACTTCAGTTTTCCCTCCACTCTGTCACCACCATTCCCAGCCTTGCGATACTCGTTTGCTTCCTGGTCTCCACCAAGTGTTAAACACTTTACAAGTTGGCAGCAATGAAGCTACGGAGAGTAGCCTGGCCAATGTTGGCGTACACACCAGGGGCGTTGGGGGCAGCGCAGCCATCACCCCAAGAAACGGCACCGAGGAGGACCTTGGTAGACTTGTTGACGATAGGACCGCCGGAGTCACCCTGGCAAGAGTCCTTTCCACCCTGGGAGAGACCGGCGCAGAACATCTGGGCGGTAACAGCCGAGGTGCCGTAAGAAGACTGGCAGGAGCTGCGGGAGACGACAGGAACATCAACCTTGAGGAGGTTGACGGGGAGCGACTGGCCGCCGGAAGAGGTAGTACCCCTAATTTGAAGGTTAGCTATGTGTTTCGGACAGATTCTGAACAGATAAGAATGACAAAACTTACCAGCCAGCAACGGTGAGGGTGGTTCCAGCAGCAGGGTCGGATCCGGACGCGGGGAGCGTAGCGTACGAGACGGTGGAGCTGGTAGGGATGGAGGTGGCCAGCTTCATGATGGCGACATCACCGTTGTAAGTGCTCGCTACGTAGCCAGGGTTGACCTTGATGGAGGAAACACGGGCAACAACACCGCCGGAGGTACGGCTCTGGATTCAACGTGTTAGCCTAAACAAATCTCATGGCCAAGGTGGAAACTTACGTTGGAACCAGCGCGAACTGTGAGGCTGGAGGCAGTCTGGCCAACAGCACAGTGAGCAGCTGTGAGGATGGTGTTGGCGTTCAGAAGGGTGCCACCACAGAAGTGGGAGCCGGAGCGCTGGAGGGAGACGATGAAGGGGAATTCACCCGCGCTAGCGGTTGTTCCACCGACAATATCCTCCTGGCTGCCGTTGTCCCAGTCGGGGATCTCAGTGGGATCCTGAGGGATGGCTGCGGAGAGCACCACCGCTGGGATAGCGAGGACGGTGAGGAGATCTTTGATCTGCATCTTGAAGGAGGTTGGCCGGAAAGCTGGAGTGGGACTGAAGCTGGAAGCGAAAGACTGCTGGTTCTCTGATGAGGACTGGCCTGAGAATGAGAGGAAGACAGCCTCCTATTTGTACTCGACTGGTCACTCTCTAGTCTTGCGACTTCGATGTGGTGGTATACACCAACCTTGCCACATTGTTGTCGTGTGGTCCAGGTATGCCAAAGGTCCCAAGACCGCTAGAACAGGGGATATTCGATGCTCCTTCTGCATGTAGAAGGAGAAAAGCAGTGTACAGCGGTGATTGGTACTGTTGCAGTTATAAGTTCCTTCTAAAGCCTAGCATCCTTCATGCAGCCATCCGTCGAGGTGGTGCTTATCTACTGCATGACTATCGATACCCCGGAGATCCCGTGCTCGTCGCCAAACGGGAAGCTGTTTTGGCACACTATCGTACAACTGGTTCTGCATAGTAGTGTCTCCGGCCCTAGGGGATATTGTGGTGAGTTCGGCCGGTAGTGGCTGGTTTCACGTGCCAACGTCGGTGAACGCCATGTGCCATCGAGATAGAGGGAAAAGAAATCTGGGAAACATAGGCGGAAGGCCAGTCAGCTGCTGCTGTGGCAGTACAAATCTCCAGCCTCTAGGCTAAGACTACGCCGGTGCCGGTGCCGGGTGATCTTCCTTATGGCGTTACATGGATGAAGATCCTAGGTGAAGAGCTACATAGCAGCTATAATTGGCTCATTGGGTGGGAGATCGATGATTGCGATAAGATCTAGCTGATGAGCATTTGCGACTACAGATGACGAGTGGCCTGCAGCGTCCGGCGGTCTCCCCCATGGACTCGTTGCCAAGCCTTACCAAGCTTCCGTTTATATTGCAGTCGTGGGCGCGATATGCGAGATAGCAAATGGTTGGTGTGGGAGCATCGTCTCCCTGTGAGGCCTGTCTCGAAGAGGCAGTTACTGGTGAGGGTGGGGCTTGGCATGCGGGCCGGCCCCTGCACATTCCCTCCGAAACACTCCGCCCTACCTGCTGCGATCGCCACAACACCTGAATCATCTCGTATGGACGCGGACTTCGCGACCTAATCAGACGGAAGAGACCTGTTAACAGTAGGTGGCAAGAACTTTGCCCCCACTGCGTCATTTATCATGGACAG